ATCAGTGTAGCAAGAACTTTTTCAGGTTCGGGAGTTGGAAGCTATGGTCATTGTCTACCTATGAGAACAGCTTCTATCTATTGAGACAATCGTTTGTTTTGTCATGACATTGGTTGCTTATATTAATGTTTCGAAAATAACGATTTTAGCAGTACATAGGAGGATAGTTTTTTTTTCACTTAAGCTGAACTTTTTTTCGGTCTATGTGATTGAATGTTCGAAAGATATCACTTAATGAAAGAATATGGGAGCTGTCACAAAATATGTCACAATAGTTCCAGACAAATGATATCGTCTATGTTTTTCCAGTTTGAGGGGGACAGAAACCACTGATTTTTGCTAAGCAACACTTATAGCCAATAAAATGATAATGGATATAATCCGTATCAGTAACGATCGTCCCTTGTTTCTGTTCTTCCTTGTCCTAAGTGAATCTTGAACTGTCAAAGTGTGGAACTTGAAAGAAGCATAGCTGAGAACTTTATGTTATATGCTGTCATTCGTAAACATTTATCATTGCATCAAAAATTAGCCAAAACAAAAGCGTTAGTTAGGCGCTATTGTCGACCATTATTATGCTGCCCGCCGGCGATGCAACATAATGCAAACAAACTAATATATAATAAGAAGCTGAAATAACAAACTGGGTTTTTACAAGAGTCGAAATATGCTGTAAGTTACTATAAGCAAAGATGACAGACAAACCAATCACAGGACAATACAACCACTATAACTATGATGACTGTTCCTTATCCTTCTTCTACGGCAAGATAAATAAACCGAAGGGTGATATTCTTCAAGCTGGCATCAACAACTTGTTTTCTCTCCTTAAAACAAGGGCAATATTTTATTAGCACAATTAGTGACGGATTTAACATGGATACGACCTTGTCATTTCCTTTTTTGCACTAAATGTTTCTCTATCAACACAGCGAAATCTCATTTTTTAAAACCAATTATTTCTATTCCACTCATCATACGATTTCGAAACTATTTATACGTGCTTATTGTCAAACGATTTTAGATATACCACAAATAAAATAGCATCAAGTTTTAGCACCACCAACAATATCATTAAATAACCTACTTTTATGTCTACTTCGCGATCTTGTATGACCAGGCTATCGGTCACAGAGACTTGCTTTGCGCAGTATGTGAGGGTTCCTGTAATCATGCAAGGCCTATTTTCCGATGGACTGAAGATTTTTTATGAAATATTTTTATTTTGGTACAGTTAAAGAGAAAAGCTGGGGCAAAAAAATCCTTGGAGGGATAACGATACAGCCTTGAAAGCTACTGCTGATCAAGTATATTTTGTTGAAAACGATAGTACCTTCAAGCAACAAGCCGTAGAATATCTAAAATAGTATGTCAATCTTCGACGGTTGCTGACCAAATCGATAATAACCAATATATCCTGCATGGTAAATTGTAATAACCAAGAATTTCCTCTTCTGCAACTTTTCTACGATCAACTTTATTTTTATTATTACGTATGAAATAATACACTATTAGTCGCAACAGTCGTAGTATTACTTACTTCAAAACTAAAAATATTTCAAGTTAAGCGATGATATATTTCTGACTATATACTCTGCACACCATTATTTCTCCAAACGGTTTCCCTTTGTCGTTTTATTGTTGGAGTTGGTTGTGTAGAAAGCTTGGCTGCCACGAAGAAGTTTGAGCCTTGAACCGAAGTTCTTAACACTCAGCTTCAGCGTGTTCGTTGAACTTTCAGTGAAACTGAATATTCTTCTTGGTAGGATTTAATTTGTTATTAGCTTATTGACTGAATTTTGTGATAGCTATGATATTAATAGCATACGCGTTATTAGATCAAAACATTTTTTTCTCTCCTGAATTCCAACCTTAAGCTAGATTAGTTTTTTTTTCTTTTAGACTCGTGGTTGTAGCTTTTAGGAAGAGATAAGGTGAATTAGCCAGCTTTAGGGAAACATGATCGATACATTACTTGATATGATATCCAAGCTATTTCAAGCGTTTTCCATCAGCAACCGCCGTTTCATGAAATTAAGTTAATGAACAAAAAACTGGAAACAATTTGTGTTTTTTTTTTAGCAATATGATTGTGACAGATGACCGGAGGCTAGAAATGGAAAATCTAAAACGAATAACCCTTTTCGGCACTACCATATCTACTTTCTCCTTACTATCAGCTGTTACTGTCATCCCAACGATTTATAATTATGTGCAGCACATAGAATCCAGTTTACAATCTGAGATCGACTTCTGCAGACATCGATCAAATGGTCTTTGGGAACAATATTTTGCAGTGTGTATTTTGAATCAAATTTTTATTAAATAGGTCAAATTGATCAACTGCAATTCCTGCTTATTTAGCATTCCCTCTCAGTTTGATTCCTCCATCATTCTATCTAAACCCTACATCTCAACATAATTCAATTTCAATTTTAACTGGTTATACATGTGACAGAGATGAGACTGTCTGCATGAGTGAAATACAATATTTTCCTTTTTCACCAACAGTTCGTCATTTCGTTGGGACAGTACATGGAGTGGGAAACTTCCTGCTTTGATTTAGTTCAATTTTTGATTTGCTTGAATATTTTCTGATTAACAAATTAATAGAATATTCTGAGGAATAAAGTTTCAGAGTGAAGAAATTAGTAACATGAAAGGACGCAACAAACGCAGCATTCACCATCTACGTGTAAATAAATCCAACAACCGTCCATTGTCCATACAAATTCGGACTGACGAACCTTACAGTGAAGAATGGCAAAATAATTATGGCAGTTATGGCGCTGATAAATCCAGCACTCTGGCAGGAAGTAATAGTGAACAGGACCCTATCGGAATGAGCCATGAAATCGCAGGAATGTCCGAATTAAGTCAGTCAGAAGAGAATGAAAGTTCGGATGAGGACAACGGATATATTGGTGTTACTAGCGGTGTTGGGAGTTGCTGCAGCTGTAAAATTGGTCCTCCTGGGTCCGCTGGGTCACAGGGATTAAGAGGAAGGGACGGTATGTCTCATTTTTAATTGTAAGAGTAGCAAATGGAGGAATAGGTAAGAAGCAGCTATCATTCAATGATAGGTAAGAAGGAATAGGTAAGAAGCAGCTATCATTCAATCTTGCTGAATTGGTAAATCAATTATAAGGCAAATCAGATCGATAAAAAAACTAACACTGCAAGACGTAAATTATCTTTTTACAGTACTACTTTTCTCTTTTTTGTTATTCAAATTGCAACCTTTGCAGATCTGTTTTGTTCATTTTTTTCAGGTAAGGATGGTAGACCCGGTCTAGATGGGCTGCCAGGAGTGGATGCAATACCTTCTTCACAATCCATGCATAATTATTGCTTCCGATGCCTACCAGGATTGCCTGGACGTATAGGACCACCAGGACCAAAAGGGCCAAATGGTCCAGATGGAGCACCAGGACTGACTGGAGGAACGTCGCTACCCGGACCAGCAGGAGCACATGGGCCGCCTGGACCAGTTGGGATGCAAGGACCTCCTGGGCGTTGTGGTCACCCTGGTTCACCAGGAGAAATCATTAAAATACTTGGGCCTCTTGGACCACCGGGTTTACCAGGACCACAAGGTCCTTCTGGTTCAATGGGAGAAAAAGGAATAAATGGCAAGAAGGGTCAACCTGGTCCTCAAGGAGGACCAGGAAAAAGGGTAAAGATGGTTATGCAGGCAAAGAAGGAGAAAGGGGAAATCGAGGTGCAGCAGGAGAAACAGGTTTAATTGGTAGTTGTGACCATTGTCCGATACCGCGAACCCCTCCAGGATATTAAATTTTAAAAAAATTATTGCTTTTGTCTAGCAATATTATCAATGTTTAGTATAGTAATTGCTATTTATGGATTTGGAATGTTTTTCTTTGTATTCTGATCATTGAAATTCGTGGCCAGAATTCAGCAAATAGGAAAAATTCTTTTCAATCTTTATAAGGTATCTCGAAGCAAAAATCAATAGATGTACTTGACATCGAAGCGTTCAATTGAAGGTAGATAAATGGTGGATGAAAAGTCTTCAAAATTAAAATTTTCTGAACCATTGTGCCTTTCATTATTTCGTTGTTAAATCGACGAATTATTTGAAGGAATTAGAATTTTCTCCTTAAGGCTTTGATTTTTTGGATTTAAGTTAATACTTTTTCATTTTTTTTTTTTTTGATTTTTTGCAAAATAGGCAAAGATCTAAAATGTGCTTAAGTGTAACCGTATTCGAATTAAATGATATGTTGTTTGAAATATACAATGTACGGAAGATACGCCATTTGCTAATTTTTTTTTTTTGGATTAATCCAAAAATACGGCGTTCAACAAGCGAGCAAATGTGTCACATTGAACGATTAGCCTAGTGACTTTGAGACGAGACAGCAAACTGTCCTTGAGCTTGGTAATTTAACAAAAATTGTATGATAAAAGTGGCTTCTCAGTGTTACGATATCTATGAGGATAGGGTCTTTTCAACCACCTTTTACGTTTTTTCGATTGTTATATTCTTTTTAACTCAGTTTTTCCTTCATTTCAGTCAGCTTGGTTGAGAAGTTGTTCCTTCTACGTTTTGATACTTCGAAATAAATTTTCAAATATTTCAAACTATGAATGACGAGGAAAATATTTGGCGCAAAATGAGTGAGTTAAGTTAATTGTGATTATTAGTTAGCAAAGCCACTCAGGAGATTTCGCAGTTATTTTATTTAGATTTAAATTAATTTTTGTTTTCTTTAAAAAATTGTACAAAATTGAATCAACTAAACAAATGCTAAAAATCATAAAATATTAGTAAGTTAACTTATTTGAAAACGAGGAAGATAATAAACTGGTTTTACTCCATCTGTCAACAAATTTTTTTTCCCATGTTTGAATTGCCGAATATTGAAATTGGTTCAGCATTACTTCACTAAACATTGAAACGTAGTTGTTGGCAGAGTTTGAACGAATTGATGAAGCGAAACGGAAAATTGAATTTCATATAAATAGAGAAGAAAAGATTTTCGTTCTCTTACTTTATCAATCAGCATGAATGAGAGACTCAGACCAAAAAGTAAGAAAAGGCTGTTCGGACCCTAGATGAGTTAACATTTGGCAAGAGCATACATGAGGTATTTCACCCTTAATATTGCATGGATTTGCAACCTAAATTGTGTTGCAATATAAATTTGCAATAATTTTAAAGCATGAGAAGTTTAAAGTTCAACCGCACTGAGATGAAGATAAGTATGACACTTGTCCAACTGATATTTCTAGGAAAGTTACTTTAAAATATTGGCAGTGGAGTTCCTTTTGAAGATAAAATTGGGATTTCAAGAGAAGTGAGAGTGAAAGGATTATAGTAGTCTTTCATCAGTGCATTTGAGACAATAACTTTTTATTTCTTTTTGATCATTTTACGCAGGAATTTTTCAACAAAAAAAGAAAAAAAACATAAAGAAAATGATTTGTTGATTGAACAGAGATGAAAAGGAATATAGACATTTGGAAATTACTTACTGATTCACCACATCACTTTGCATATCATTTAGGATTTTGTTGTAGACTTTTGAGACTCTCCGAAATCTTCCCAGTAGATTCTCGAATTCCCCGACAGTCGAACAGTTTCAAAGTATACAATTCTAGAAAGAATTTCCGAGATTTAAAAAAATATGCGGAGATATCTTTATCTGTTTCTATGTGACATTTTCACCCTGTAACATCCCGTTTCTCTTGATACATCTTGCTACTTTCTAACAGTTTTACTTAAAAAAAAGCTTAGAAATCCTTTCGAAAAAGTTCATTTGCTACACAAAACTTTTTTTTTCTCAAGTACATGTGAAATGGCATGGCATGACTGAACAATCGGCCTTTTGCCTCGGATTTTTCAGCTTTATTGTCATTTTCTTAGTAGACAGTTGGTTAGATTTTGCGAACAAAGTTGGGATTTCGAAGAAAAAAAACAATCAATGATTTCTTTAGTTTTAAAAATCCATTCAAAGTCCACATGAATTATTGCCAAAAGGATTTAAAGCAATGTTTCGACAAAAATTACAAATATTCCTCGTAACCAAACAAGAAATTAGAATTCTCTCGTTAAAACTGAAATTCAAAGAACCGAGAATGAACAGAGAGACAGTAATCAATGTTTACGTGTAAGTAATCAAAGTTTTACGACTCCAGTTACCAATCAGTTCATTTTAAATCAAAGTCACACTGCTAAAGATCACAACGATCAGAATTTTAGGTAAAAAATATTGTTCAGGAAAAGTGAAAGCGATCTTGCTGACTTTAGTAGTTTTAAAGTGATTGAAAACACAATTACATATCATGACGACATGTTATAAAAAACTAGTAGCCAGGAGGAGTACGAGGTGGTGGACAATGATCACATGAACCTTGTCTTCCTTCTTTGCCAAATAATCCCGGTTTTCCATTTAATCCATTTGCTCCTGGGACACCTTGTAGTCCAGGATCACCTGGTGGCCCAACTGGACCAATGGGTCCAGGCCTGCCAGTTGTACCAGGTTGTCCTGCGTTACCGGGTGATCCAACTAGTCCTGAAGGACCTGGCAATCCTTGCGGTCCAGCATTTTCACTGAAAACACCAGGTGAACCATTAGCCCCAGGTGGCCCAGGAACTCCTGGAAGTCCTTGTAGTCCACGAAGTCCTGGTGGTCCTGGTAATCCTGGTAGCAGAGATCTCCCTCCATTGACTCCTCGCTCTCCGGCTTGTCCTGGGAATCCTTTTGCTCCTGGAGTTCCAACTGGTCCTGGTCGACCAGAAGGGCAATCGAAACAGAAATCCTCTGGTTCCGGTTTCACATCTGGTTCAGTATCTCTACCGGGTGATCCATGTACTCCAGGTAGTCCATCGGCACCTGAAGGTAAAATTTTTTGTTAACATAACGATTAGGTTTGAAATAGCATGATACAAATGACTAACCGTCTTCACCATCACTTCCTGGAGGACCTGGTGGCCCAACAACTCCAACATCACAACTACAACACGTATTTTCAATAGTTTTAGGTGTCCCAGTTCTTGAACCATCACCATTATATTTGCTGTCATCACTAGTTCGAAACAACTTGTATTTCGTACCATAATTTTTGCCAGTGCTGCTCTTCTCTACAAGTATAAAAGGATTGAAAATCAGAACGGTTCATGGGATTCTGTTTTGTGGCCATTAATTTTGCATTTATGTATCCTTTAATTTCTTATTTGTCGATTTAATTTGTAATAAACATTAATTCATCCCTTTTTTGTTTAGATTTTCGCCCAAAAAAATAAGAAGACAAAATAAAAGTACCGAAAAGCTTTGTTTTCCTCATTAACGCTTTTATATTCATAGAAATGATCTCGACAGTTGACGCAATAAAATTTTTTTGTGCAGTTTGTTGGTGAGAGAATTCTGGTTTTTCTTTACCTTTGACTACATTGAACATGTATCTTACTACTAGAGAAGGTAATGTGAATTTGGTTTTAAAAAAGATAAAGTTTGCCAATGGTATTATCACTGTTATAGCGAATTTGTTCTTTTGCAGTAGTGGAATTGAAATTTTCTACCTTATTTCTCAACTAACTTTTCTTCATTCAATAAATTTTCAAGTCTATTTTGTTCCAAAGAAACCCAAATCGATCTTTCAAATAGTTGTAAACTAAGTAATTCCTGCACTCGAAGTGGACGGTACAAAGTTTATCAGTTCCTCTTCTCCTTAAATCCATTCCATTTACTACTCGCTTCTGCAGCTAAGTCAAGAGGGTAACTTCCCGATTTAGATGAAAGACTTACTTAGTTTGTGGCTTTGAAGATTTGAAAATTTATAGATGAAGAAAAATTCGCCAATCTTCAAAAGAAAAATTGACTGAATGCTTAAAATCACCAACCATATAGGATCGTGTCACTTTGTGTCACATCTTTTGTTAGCATAGATTTGCTGTTCTCTTCTTCCACTTGCTGTCTCTCTAAATCTTCTCTTTCTCCCTCCTGATCCTTCTCATCCTCAACAGTGTATCCTTCAGCTTCATTTTCAACCGAATATGTTGGAACTGCGTGCGCATGATTCCTTCTGTGTTTCATTCCGCTGTTGTGCCACCGATTTGCGTATCTTTTCAAGCGATTGTTGGTGTTAACATTCTTGGTATCGGTTAATATTTCTACCTGTAACATGAGAAAGAAAAGCAAATTTTCAAAACCAAAGCACTTTTAAATAAATTAATTTATTAATTTAAAGATCGGAAAAGGTTGACTTTGTTTAAAATACTACCAAAGAGTTTTTTTGGCAAGAGTTATTTGAACTCTTCATTTAAACTTTTGTTTGATGCAAAGAAACTTTTTGAAATAAGGAATGGAAATTCGTTGAAATTACCGATAAAAAATCTTCGCCAAATTCATGCGCATGTTTTAAAACTATTTTTGCCATCGGGACTATTACATAAAAATTTGAATGGATTTTACTCAGTTTATGGAAAAAATTTTCCATCGAAAAGTTAAAAGGCATTATAGAAAGCATTAGAAGGCCATTATTATTATAGAAGGCATTAGAAGGCCGCAAGGTACACTTATAAAGCTTCACTTTTGTAAATAGTATTATATAAGGAAAATTTGTTACCTTATCAAGTTGTTGCCACAAGCCATCCGTTAAATGTCTGCAATAATTAACTTCAAGCTTGAATGTCGACTGTACATATTGCATGTAGTTGAACAGATGAGGTACAGCAATGATCGCTGTCAACGTAGCCATCGTTGATACAGTGATACCGAAGAATGCGGCACGTTTCATCGCTTCAACTTCTTTTTGCTGTAAATTTGGGTCATCCACTGTTATTGCCATCACCTGAATCAGTTATTGTTATCTATAAACATTATTTCACTTTCTTATTGCTTTTCGTCGCACTACCAAAGCATATTGTGTTCAAAAAACGATTGAACTCTCATATTTTCCGCCTTCTAGCCAATAACAGAATTTTGGTGTATATGACCTATTCTAAGATATAAAATTTGTTAAGTTAGCCAATAAATCACAAATCACGATTTACTACTATTTATGAAATTCAACGAAAGGTATTATTGGAAAATTTAATTATTGTTTTATTTGTGACAGAATTAGAAAATAAGTAAAAAGAAAAACAAACTAAGAATATTTTTTGTTTTCTGTTTTTTTTTTTTCATCTCACGTAGAGAAAGATGAAACATTTGTTAAAAAGAATTTCAGTTGCTTCTGGAACTTATTTACAAGTATGTTATATTTCGATGAATAAATAAGGTGTCGATGAAAGGTGCATTAAAGAAAATTGTTGCATGTCGGTAATATTTGTACTTGGCCTATAATAGTGTGGCTATCATTGTTAATAAACGAACATTTGAAATTTATTTGTCCACAGGAAATCACAGAAAACGACCATCGCAGAAAACTTTTGATTGATATTTTCAAACAAAACCCCTACAGATCATTTGAATAGATTTATTCATTCTATGAAATTATGCCGCTGAACATCAGTTTCTCGGAAATTGACAGGAATTTTCAATAAGAAATAAGATATACTCAAGGACAGAAGATTGCCCAATAGTTTATTTCTAATTACCGTGAGAATATTGCCTTTTACCGGATCGCAAGACACTTTAAAGAAACAAAGATTTTTTTTTGAAAGAAACAAAGATAATTTTAAAGGACAGAAAAAACATTCGGCAAATCTTAGTTTTAACACACTTCCATTTTTTTTAAAATTTCAGTGAAATCTCTGATAGCACGGTTGACTTTTAGTTATCAGCGAAAGCCGCTTCAATTTGAGACTCATTTCGTGGAGAAAAGAAATTTATAACCTAAACGAAAAGAAATGATTTGATTGAAAAAAAGAAAGAGATGTAAAGGAATTAATGTTTGGATAAATCGATGGATGGGCGATTTTCAGTGGTTCGGAAAGGTAACAATTTCTGATTTCGAAAAAAAGGCAGTGTCAGAAGCCCAATTAAAAGTGATCTATTTTAGATATGACACCTCTTTTTTTCTATCTGATTCTGAAAATTTGTCGCTTTAAGCGTGAGATATCGTAGATCTCAAGTAGGTTGTAGTCAAGTACAGTTGTAGCTGATGATTTGATTTATAGTGGCAATAATTATGGTTATAACAGCACCAATAACAAACATCATCCTTCAGAAAGGTGCGCTTCACTGACTTCAAGTAATTGAATATGAAAATTTTACTATAAATCGAAAAAGAATTTGGTGATGTGCTTTTGTGCAATTTATAACGCAGAAATAGAGGCAGCGCAGAATATATCGCGGATATGTAGACATCGAATAATCATATCGCTCCACTGAATCCCTAATGAGGACATAAAACTGTTGACAGTCTTTGACACTAGGTCTTCCCGTAATTGCTTTCTTGCTCATTTTTTGATCAGATCAGAGAGGAAGAAAGTAAATGAAGGGAATGATGAAGACTGAAAATAGGTCTACTGAAGATAAGAATGACAATATTTCCAAATTTCATGGCTGAACTTTACACTAACAAAAGATGATCATAAATTGTCGATTAGCAAAATATTTGCAAGGATGAGGATGAAAAACTGATAAAGGAAATCAGGTAAAATATAAACGAGTAGACCAATTTCTTTTGTACATTTCAACAGTTGTTAGTTAATTGGCCAGCGATCATCACTGATTTTTTGTAAGGATCAATGTTATGTAAGAATCCTCTTTTAATCAGGAGTTTGTAACACTTTGAGATGAGGCAATCTGGATCGTGGTCGAGAGTTGTAAAATTAAACAAAGTTAGACATTCAACTGGTCGTATTTCGTAAAATTAGACCCATTTCCCTTTCACTATGGACTTTGCAATATTGAAGCATTGAGGGACAGCTTTTCGGAAGTTTGAACTTACCAGTAAGACATCACGTATGAAAACTATTCGTTACTCTGAAAGACTTAACAGTTCTATTCTAGTAAAAGACAAGAGCTAGAAATACAACTGGTAACTTTATACCGCATCCATTTCAATTACATGTAACCATTATAATATTCAACGTCATTTGAAAGTGTCTAGACATTTCATACAACAATGTTAACATCAGTATATTCAATGAATCCAAGTTTCATTTTGTTACTGCAGCCAGGAAAAATAGTCTTTAACTTTAACTGAGTGCATCGTAACAGTTTACAGAATTGATAGGTATGTAAATGCTCTGAAGAGTTCTTATCGGATTGCATCGTTTTGTTTACGGTATCCGTAACAACTCATCAATTACGGTGAGTGGAATGAATAAGGACATTCAGCTTACGAGATGGTATTACTCAAATAAAACTGATACTTGGAGAATGATTATGATAGCAAAATAGTGATAAGTGTGAAGTCCAAGAAATGCAGATTATAGAAAGTTTATCCAAGGAGTATGTCAATTTTTATTAGTGTAAGTATGTTAACTTAGCACAGAAAACATTATCCAAATATTTGCAGATGCTATCATAAGGTCTGAAAGTGAGCGGATGAAGCTACTAAAACGCTTATTGAAAAAGTTCCACTTTTGTTTTGGTTGGAATGTGTGAAGAACAGAGATTGGTGACAGATGCAAAACTGTAGGGTGGATGCAGCAATGCAGTGAACAGGACTTCTTTTATACAACAGTACTTGATAACCTGACAGATGACAAGTAATTCAAAGATGGACCACAAGAAGAAGAGTAAGGTGCGACAGGAAGAGATATGAAAGCATTAATTTCCATATTTTCTTCTGAAGGCATAATCGATGCTACTACTTTATATCGCCTTTTCTCAAAATCGTTTTTCCTTTCTCTTTATTCCTTAAAGAATAACTAAGTAGGAAATCTGTTTCAGGCTAAGAGCTTTAAATTAAAGAGAGTAATAATGGAACGAAATAAAGAGTTAAAATGATATGGCGATCTAGTCGACTGATACAATTTTCAAAGGAAGGTGGTTTTGTATTTCACTCTAATATTTGTCGTCCATATTTTTTCGTTCTCTTTTTTGGTTCTTTCTTAGCTTTTTTTCCCGCCAAGAACCTTCGACACAAAAAAGGCCTTCCGGTTTCAGAGCCTGAAATATTTTTAAACATAGGTGGAATAAATAATTCAATAGCAATGTATAATCCTTAATTTTTTGATAAATAAATTTTCCCTTTGGAACAATATTGTAATGTTAATCAGCACACATTGCAAGAGATTCTAATGATGCAGATATGACAAACTGCATGAAAAAAACTTGAAATACTTGCAAAAAAGATTGTTTGATACCTTTGCTCAGTGAAAACTATAACAAAGAAACTAATTTTCTCATTTTCTAAATGTGCACGAAGGATAATTTGTGACAACTGGACCATATGACCGAAAAGCGCATAAAAAGAGCTTTGAAGAAGCATGTGTTTTCCATGTCTAAATCAAGTTGCATAAAGTGATTCACAAATAAAATATTCACATTTATGCAAATTTATTTCTACAAAATGATGAAAAATTTTAGAAGCTACCCGTCCATCGCTAATGAATCCCAGCTTACTGATAGTTTACAATTTGCTTTGGGACAATTTTTTCCCAAACAAAAAGCTGAAAGCACAAGTTTCCATAAGGAATTAAGTTTTCAATTCAGTTCTGGAAAACCAGCATAACATTGAAGCAATAAGTTACGAATGATCTGTAGTCCGAGCGGATCTGAAACTTGCGGAAAAGTTATGATTTCTAAAAGGACGGAAAGGTGAATTCTTTCTAATTTGATCAGAATAATGCTCTATTCAAGAGAAGCTAAGTTTACTTCGAAACAAACCTTAATATTTTCCGGCGTAGGTTTTTGTGAGAGAGTTACCATTTTAGCTTTTAAATTTGCTTAAATGTTTTTTGTAATAGGGACGCTATTATGATCAGATGAATTGCGATCAAATACGACATTAATTTCCCTCCAGCTTATCACATCAATGAATTGATTATTGGATTCGGAAATCACTTTATTTTGCTCCATCCTAGATCTCAATATATCATTAACTGATCTTTTTTGTCTTGCTTTTTAGAATCCATGCAAGAAGGATGTAAGAATCACTAGTCAAGAAGGAGCCAACAATCACCAAGTCACCTTGTTTCTTGCATTTGTTCAAATGCGCGCGACAGCAAAGTTTAAATTTTTTCACCGTTATTTACAAATGCATCTCGCAAATGAATGTACTCTTCAGAGCGAAGCTTGGTTTGATTCAAACGAATAAATATTAAACGTTCTGTTTCGATTTTTGCATATATATCTACGATATATTGGTAAAACAATTAATGACATTTCAAAATGTGATATCTTCATTTCCTCGAATCATTAATCGGTTTGAATTTAGTCGGTTTTGAAGTTTACTGCGCTACATTCCATATTTATTTCTTCGCCACTGACTGGATTTATCATCTTAATGTTGAAGTGATATCCATTGGCACCATCCCAAAAAATGATTGAATATTGCAGGATATCGTAGCATGGATGAGTTTTTTTTTCATTGCAACTTTTATCAATTGACCGTTTCTCCGATGAAGATATTCCTAGATTAGAACTGATCTCCGACTACAACAATTATCACTTCGTTTACAGTTGGAGCACTGGATCTTTGCATATGTTCACCAGCAGGCGTTTTGTCTGTGGTTATCAGATGGCGTCATGTCAATTGCTGCTCTGAATAAACACACTAAATTTTTTTTGTTCATGAAGATCTTGCAATTGGGAAAAGATGGACCCTTTTATGTCGGAGAAATTTCGCAGCGTGCATTCAATTCATCGTTGTCATCACCGATGAAATACATTTGTAGGAACTTATGTTGTTCATCTGGGAACGGAAGCAAGAAGACGGCTCTATGACAA